CATACACCTAGGTGTACGTACTCCCAACACCAAACAACTAACGCGAGGAAGCTATCGGGGCACACACCCGTTTAATTATCCCGCATTCAAATTAATTATATAATTAAGTTGTTAACTACTGACCTCTCTTTGCATGGATAAGATCTAGTTCAAAAAGTTGTTACGTGAAAGTAGGGAATTGAGATGCACATTATATTTACTCACTACCAACCTAGGCTAGGAGCTGACGACTCGTTTGGCCGTCCAATGGCTCTAGCCAACAGAATCTCCGGCGGCGGCGACCGGCAACGTGCACCTTAATTGGCCACCGTGGAAGCCTCAAGCAAGAGATGTAAGATATTTCTCACATCAATTTATACATCTTGGGTGTTGGTTTCTACAATTTATCTCCCACTACTCTCGCTTGTTACAGATCTCACTAGTGAAGTTGGGCAGCCCGATGACTCGACGATGAAGGATGAAGGTGAGATCGATGCATGGCTATGCTGCAGGCAGGGCTCAATGAAGTAGACGAGATGCTGAAGGCAGTAGATCAACGATAGAGATGAGATGCCGACGGCGGCGGCTTGAGGACAATGAGGACGAACATATTACAAGGTGCGGCTGCACACCGACGGTGATGAACGTGCTTGGCAATCCGTATGATGGGCTGATGGCCAGTGTTTCAACATGACGCCGACGGGCGCTGTGGGCGTGGTTAAACGAGTTCATCCATGGCATATCATATAAATTGGTTGATGCACCAGGCGGCCGAAGAACATGCATGCAAAGTCAATGTACATATAGCTATCCAGTATAATTCTTCATTTATTGGAGAACACATACTTCTTTGGATCTTTCCGGTGTATACTTCTTCATTCAAGATTGAAGCATACAGTCAATAAAAAAATCAGTATATACCGCCCTAATCTAGATTGTAGTATATACCTCTCTGGCTTTGTGTGTAGTATAGTATACTTCAGATCTGAAGTAAAAAAAGAAGGTACTATATTATTTGGAACAAGTATGTATACTCCCAGTTGTTTTAGTTGTATAAAAAAAGAATAGTATAATCCAGATTTCAAAACAACAGTACATACTTCAAAGCTATTGGCATATATAGCCCTTAAAAAGGTATGTACTTTTGTAAAAATAGGTATATACCACTTAAAAAGGATAATATATACTCAGTACTCCCGAACATATACTGAGATTATTATGGCCATACTCCTTAGTTATCCTTTTTTTGCAGGATATACTCCTTAAATTATCCTTCTTTTTGCAGGATATACTCCTTACTTATCCAATACAATATTAGAGTATATTAACAGATGTATCAGTATGTTACTTCTATCAAACATATACGTACATATACTACCCGAAGAAAAATATGTCGGTTTCATACTGTAGAATGTACGACCACGGTTTAAATAAAAGGACAAGAGGAGGCGTGTTATACTTCCCAGTAAATAATCATCATGTTTCTTACGTGGAAAAATTGAAAGATAGACACCGATTCCTTGCATGTAGGATTAAGTTGTTGCATGCAGCCATTCTCACATCCCGTAGAGATAAAATCAGTTACACGTACGACAATTTAGCATTAATCTGTTCCCCAAAAAAATAGTGTTAATCTTTTCCGTTAGTTCGGTTTGCTAGTGGGGCTGGGAGTATGTACCCCGGGAGTACAAAATAGGTGTATATATATACACACATACTAAATCTGGCCAGGATTCTTTTTTACTGTTTCTTTCACTTTTTTCTATCAGTGAAAAGCGAGCCAATGGGGACACGCCACGTGCTTTAGTGGGGGATCTGGAAGGGTATGCACCTGTGTGCAGTTAGCAATTGCGGCTAGGTTTTCTAAATCGGTTTGCCATTGGCTGCATGGGTGTGCAGGATGGGCGGTTTCTATGGGCATGCATGCGCGATTCTTCGTCCGGTTCGCTTTTGGTTGCATGTGCGCACAGGATCTGCAGTTTCCATTGGTCTGCAGGCATGCAACATGCAATGTATCCTGGTCTGACTGCTTATATTTAATAATGCTGGTTGTTTCGAACTTGGATTTCCTTTCTGCCACGTACGTGTGCTGTTGTGAGGTTGGCTGCCGCTTCGCCGTGCTTTCTAGGCCTGCTCTATGGTCGGCTGCCGCCTTTCTCTATTTCTCTGGTTGCTTCTTCTATCCATGCAGTGGCTACCTTCAAATTGTCCTTTGGTTCCTTGTTGCTTCCTATAAATACCAGCCTCTTCCATCCATCTTCTTTCCATCCTGGTTCGAGCCGGCCGTGCACTCTGTCTTGCATAAGAATTAGGGATGGTTACTCTTGTTGCTGTCCGGTCTGGTCGGGGATGGCAGGCCGTCGTCCGCCTGGGAGGTCGTGAGCTCGAGGCAACCCCGGGTAGACCGGGCAGGTTGTCGGAGGCTCCGACGCGGTCCTCTGCGGCGCACGACTTGCAGCTTGGGAGTGTCCTGGCAGTAGTCGGCGACCTGGAGGAGGAGGCGGAAGGAGGAGCGGTAGCAGGACGTGTTAGCAGGTGCAGCTCTTCTAGGCGTTCTTGGATTCTAGGCACTGCTTTCATCGTTGGTTCTGGTCACTTGGAAGTTCTATAATATGGGCTTTCCTGCTTTCGTTTTTCCTTGCCTTGGGGTGGCGACGAGAAGAGCACGGAAAGAGCCGGTGAGGGAACCACACCGCACACGGACGGCGGGGTGAGAGGCCGGCGCCGAGTTCGCGTTAAAGCTCTCGCCGGATGTGCTTCTCTTCTACTTTCTCCAGTCCTTCACACCCGACATGTTCACCTTGACAGTCCGTCCTCGCCGTCGTCGACTATGCATGCTCTTTTGTTTGCCAGCGAAGGACGATGTGCAGCCGCTGCCACAGTGGGTACATCGGCCGTGGCGCTGCCGACTCCCCGGGCGGGTTCATTGCGATCTCCTGGAGTCTGGACAGTCGACTGCCTCCGGGTCGTTCCACGCGGGCGGAGCGAGAGCGACAGACAGCTACTGCGGCAACGCAGAGGTCCAAAGGAAAAGCTGAAGTCGGTGCTGAGCGATGCCGTCCAGGTCGGTGGCCGTGCGGCCCGCTGGTTGCCACACCGTTGACTCCAGCGGCAGCGGCGGCTCTCGCAACGGAATGCTCACCCTCCTCAGTGGCGAGGATGAGGCTATCGTTGCATGCCTCGTGCCGCTTTTTGCCCACTTCGGTCGTCCTATCTACACGGGCCGGCCCGACAGCGGCGAGCAGTAAAATCGCCAGCGCCGTGTGACGCCTCGACGCCTGCGTGGTAGATCCCGGGCTGCCGGGCGCGGACGGTGGCGCGTTCTGCCCTTACTTGCGGCAGCTCCTATGTATGCCGGCGTCGAGGAAGAAGAGGGTGGAGGACTGGAGGGCATGCCCTCCAAGAACCTGATGGTTGAGTGCCGGCGTCGTAAGCGCCTCAACAACCGTGAACCGTCTCTCCAGGCTACCTCCGTCGTGCCCAGGATCATCAAGGTAAAGACCAATCGTCAATCGATCTTGGAAAATTAATGGGTAGAATATTGGGAGTAAATCTGAACGTGTGTTTTTGTGGACATCTAGATTGACAGAGCGTCGATCCTGGAGACGCGATCGACTACATGAAAGAGCTGCTGGAGAGGATGTGGCGACTGCAGGAGGAGAGGAGGACGCGCATCCGCAGCCAGCGTGTTCCAGGAGCTGAACCCGACGAGATATATATGGCCAGGAACATCCCCGAGATGAGTAATCTAGGCGACTAGGCATCCACTGTCGTCAGCGGAGAGCTGGGACATTCCTGCCGTAGAGCTTCAAAAAATGGTGATAGCAAGAGAAAAGTTGGCTGGTGGTTGCAGACTTGCAGTTCGAGGTGGAGCGCAAGGACGAGGGCCGCGGCCACGGCAACACCTGGGGTGGAGATCTACTGCTCCGTTCTCTTGCCTACTTTCTTGACCCTCTCTTTACAGATGCCTAATTCATTATTGTTTCTTCGGTCTACTTATTAAACGTGTGCAGTGCTCTCAGTTACTCCCTCCGTTCCAAATTACTCGTCGTGGTTTTAGTTCAAATTTGTACTAAAACCACGACGAGTAATTTGAAACGGAGGGAGTAGTAATTTAAAACGTACACACTCAATGACATGTCAAGTTGATTTTTTAATTTCTATAGATGTAGTGTTACTTATGGTCGTTGCATGTTCGAGACGCGTATCTCTGGTCATTGGCCGCTCCTAACACATATAATGAGTAGTGAAGTGCCAGCCATGAGATCCATATGCTGACGATGCAATTCTTACACACAGCGAGCTTAATCTTAAACCATATATATCTTTACTCATGTGGTAGTAGTTCACTGAAATAATCTCCTTGCCATTACACTATTTCTACAAAAGCCTAATTTCAAGCTTTAGTTTCAGTCTGTCCACCTAGATTACAACTAAAATTCTAGAATGACAGACTATACGGGTTTTTCTATGGGATTCTTCTCGCTAACTAATCTCCATCCCTCTGATTTTCAAGGGTATGGGCCCCTCACTCGCTTTTCTTTCAATCAATTGAACCCAGCTAAGCATCCTGTACATTTAGTAAAAATCTGCCCGTGCGTGTAGCATTGCTCAGATTACAATATAGTTATACACATACCCAAGGGTCTCTATTCATATATTTGTGTATTATTCGTCTAAAATTTGATTCAACATGCACCTCTTGGCTGTCAAATTAAGGCATGTATTTTTTTTTGGTTCTCTTCAAAATCAGTGGAAAAGAGAAGAGATCAGGATGTGCTTTCTTTGGAGAACAAAGAAAATGCTACTCTCCATTTTGGATGGAAAGTAGAAATTTTTCCTAGGTATACTTTAGGCCAACTTTTTCAGTGGTTGAAGGTCCCAAAAGACATGGTATTATTGATGCATAACCGATTGTATCTTCATTATAAAGACACACACATCATCTATCTCACATGAAATTAACAAAACCGGAATAATCAAACCAAAAAAACAAGAGTTAAATCCGAGCACATGAAGCTACATATGAAGATGAAAACCAAATAAAATGTGACAAAAAAACATACAATTAAACTTACACGAACCTGGAAAACTCTTGGAGAACACATCAACTAACATAAACAACCAATCAATTAGCCAAATAATCAACACAAGGCTCTTCAATGTGCTTTTCTTCATGTAATAGCATGTAACACATGTGAAGCCACCACATATATTTTCTTTAGCTTATAATAATGGTTCGTGATTCTATCATGATGTACAGACGGGCGGCAGGCGCGGCGTGCCGCCGGGCGGGTTAAGCTAGTCTCCAACCAAGCAGCGACGTCGTCGTCGTCGATCCTTTCCTTTTAGGCAATCGGAAAACGCTAGCTCGCACGGAAAAGACGTACGTACGACGAGCTTGCCGCGCGAGCGCGCCCGGCTGGCGCCGTGCCGGCAAGGCACTTCAGTGCGCGTTCGCCACCGTGGCCGCGCGCGTGCCCGGCAGTCTCCGCGGGCACGGATCGTACGTGCGTGCGTGTCGACGCTCGCGCGCTGGAGCGCGGGGGGCAGGCATGCACGGACCCGCGAGCCGCGGCGGCATGCGGCGACCATGCATGTGTGTGTACGGTGAAGATAGGCCGTGGCGGTGACTTCTCCCTGGCGTGCCTGCCGTGCATATGTTCACGTACGGGTGAAGTGGGAAAAGAGCGCGTGCACTGCCGTGCTACGCTGCTAGCTAGCTCCTCGTGTGTATTCCGTGTGTACGTGCAACGGCTTAATCACCGCACGCACAGGTGATAGGGAACATGCCTAGCTATTTGGAACACGCGATATAAAAAGCGCAGGAATAGAAAAACACAGGTGTACTATATCCTCCACCTGCACATCTGTTCAAAGCGTCGTGTCCTGGACAGGTTGTAGCAATTTTGTTAGGGGCACCTCATCAATTGGTCAAATGTGGT